CCACAGCTTGCGGACAGGTGACACGAGGCCTGACGTGGTTTTCTAAACCCGAGAGCCACTTTTAGCCCCCCCCGTGATGCTGAGTGAATGAGAGGCTTGGAGTGTAAACCAGTTGTTCCGACCCTCTGTTAGTGCATTTACACGAGCCATCTTGCCTGCTGAACCATTATTTTTCTCCAGGCCACCGGGACAGACCAAGCGGTAGGATTTGGCCTCGTCGCCGTTAGCTTGATCATCTTCACCTACTACACCACTTGGGTGATTCTTTTGGTATGTGTGTCCCACCCCGACCCCGCTCACCTTCATTCTGCCCTGAATCTCCAAGCCAATAACTAACAGGACTTGAGCAGCGCTTGTGTGCCAGGCACTGTGCTGGATGCTTAGCTTGCTCTAATTTCACGACATCTATGATGGATTTGATGGAAAAGATGATTGCTGATGGTGTCTACATTTTATAAATGAGGAAGCTAAGACTCAGGGAGAAGGATATTTCTCAGCCTCTGAACTACTGCACAGGAAGGCTGTTTTGGGTTTGTCCTGGTTAGCCAGCAGGTTCCTGGGTTTAGCAATCGCCAGTGGATTTTATTGAGTCAGGACCCCACCCCCCACCCAGGAAATTTTGTTAGTTATTGCTTAAACGTACATTGAGCTTGGAAAAGGAAATCTTGCAGTACTTGATATCCTTTAGAGAGAAAAGTTAGGTGGGATGAAGAGATGGCTCAGTGGTTAAGAGCACTGGCTGCACCTCCAGAGGACTGGGTTTAAGTCCCAGCACTCACATGACCAGCTACAACTAGCTCTAGCTCTAGCTCCAGGAGACCCAGCAAAAGTGCCTGGCACACCAATGCTGCTTAAATTGTGTTAGTTAGATTGGAGATCCAGGGCTTGAATGAAGGTACAGCTACACTCACATGCACATATGCATAGTCAAAAAATGCCTAGAGTTCTTGCATTCAGAAGGCAGAGGAAGGTGAGGCTCTGTGAAGTCAGCCAGGGCTATGTGTGAGACCCTGCCTCAGAAAACAAAAAGCCGGGTGGTGGTGGCACACGCCTTTGATCCCAGCACTTGAGTGGCAGAGGCAGGCGGATCTGAGTTCGAGGTCAGCCTGTTCTACACAGTGAGTTCCAGGACAGCCAGGACTACACAGAGAAACCCTGTCTCAAAAAAAAAAACAAAAAAAGAAAAAGAAAACAAAAAGAATGGTTTCCAGCACTCAAAAGGCTCAGGCAGTATTCAAGGCTTGGGTCTCTTGTTATGATACATATCCACACCCAGAGGAGCCCAGCCTGGGAACCTCTTGGAGATTTTATCAAGGTGGGTCCTCAGAACCCAGTGCTGTCAATGAGCTCAAGCCCTTTGAACAGAGGGAGGCAGGATGGTTTTGCCTTGGAGCTGGATAAGCAGTACTCACCAGAGCTCTTGCCCTTGGTGCCAGCCATTCATAGACAGCCAGCATGTCATCCATAAGTACTTCCTGCCCCGCGCCTACGCTGTCCTCCTCCCATTGGCCGCAGGCCTCCTGCTGCTCCTGTTTGTGGGTAAGTCTTCTGTTCTCCAAAGGTCTCCTGATCTGAGGCAGGGTGTCGGGAGGGGTGGCACCTTCACTTGGAGCATGCTTCCACACTTTGACACTTGCCGTACATCTGCTTAGAGTCCTTGTCTCCACCTCTTCCTGGGGCTTTCCTGTTCCTCCTTAAAGACCACAGGCAGAAGCCCCTGTGGTGGTGTTCCCAGTGCTTCAGGTTCTTGGGGCAAAGAGAATATGTCTCCCCTTTCCTGTTCCAGCCTTATCTTCATCTTCACTGTCCATGCCTCACGTCACCCTGGCATCTCTTACAGCTCTGTGGGTTGGGGACTGTGTCTTTGTTGTTACGGTGTTCTAAGATGTAGCCCAGGAGCCTGGAAGAATGCTTAGGGTGACTGGGTAACTCCACGGCTGGATGTTCACACAGGGGTCGATAGAAGGGCAGGTCAGTTCCTGTGAGTCTGGAGGTCCCAACAGAGTGTCTTGCACCATTCCCTTGGTTGACTGACCCTGAGTGGCTGTGTGGCCTGATGAATGACTGGGAAGATAGGCCCTCAGGGTGGTTGGTTGGGAGCCTGACCTTGCATGTGGGTCATTGTGCCTGGCCACCTAGCTTTCACTTGGGTCCTCCCAGTCCTTCCTGTTCTGTCTATTTCAGGATTGTTCATCACCTATGTGATGCTGAAGAGCCAGAAGTTGACCAAGAAGGCTCAGTGAAGGTCCAGTGGGGATGAGACTGCAGGACTCTTCTCCGTATCTCCCCTAGGGAAGGGACCAAGGGTCACAGCCTACAAGACAATAAAGCTGACTGCACTGAAGCCCTCTTTGGGACATGGGGCTGCTTCCAACAAACTGTAGCCCTCTTTCTCTTGGTCATCCTTTTAGAAGCCAAGAGGAAGGTGGATTGGGAACCCTCTCCCTCATTTCCTTTGGGCTCCGGGGTCCTGTCCACCTCACAGTCAAAGCTCCCTGTCCCTTCTAGAGAGTTCTATTCTCTCACCTCTGCCCCTCCTGCTGTGTGATGGACTGAGCAGCTTCTAGGATGTGTACAGCCTTCCCACCTTCCTGTACAAACCTGTCCCTTCACAAGGCAGCTCTTCTGAATCTGACACTTCCAGGCTCCATGAGGACTTCTGGACCCAGAAAGCCCTGGGGAAAGAAGACTGACAAACCCCAGGACCACAGGGATACATCCAGGCAGCCACACTGGACCCCAGCTGGCCTGTTTGGGAAAACTTACAAATAAATGTTAATCATGTTGGTGTTTGTCTCTCTGTCATCCTTGCTCTGGGGAGACTGGCTAGAGGAGTCTCAGACTTTGCCTAGTTGTGCAGTGAGGGTACCTTTGCAATGTCTCTACATCAGACAAGGTAAAGCGGGAACTAGGACAGAGATGTTCTTACGTGGTAAACGTCACAGCCAGGCAGTCAGAAGCCTGGCACATCTGCTAAGGTCTAGTGTAGCCCAGTCTGACATTAAACTATGTAGCTGAGGATGACCTTGAACTGTGATTTTTTTTTTTTACTCCGTTTCCCTAAGGTTGGGATACCACATGTGAGGAGGGCTTCGTGCTTGTAAGGCAAGTACTCTTCCCGAGACATCCCCAGCCTCTCGATTAGTATTTAAGGGGCCCCTGGGATTCCCTTCTCCCCTGGGATGCCCCTCTAGAAACTTAAGCTCTTGTCCCTCACCCTGGCTGTCTTCCCCCATCTCGAATATACACAACCTGAAATTGTATCAATTCTCAGACCCTCTCCAGCCCCTTCTCAGATAGAAAGCCACCCACCTTCTCTTCTCGCTGACTATCCCCTTCCACTCTGGGTTCCTTCATCCTGATGGCTTCCCAAAAATACATGTCGGGCTGTCTGGATTAGTGCACGCCTTTAATCCCAGCATTCAGAAGGTGGAGGTAGGGGGATTACTGTGAGTTCAAGGCCACCCTGATCTATAGAAGGAGTACCAGGACAACCAGATCTACCTAGAGGAACATGCACACACACAAAGAAAAGAAAAAAAGACATGGGCCTGGAAGGATGTCTCAACAGATATTCCTGAGGGCCAGAGTCCAGTCAGAGGTCACATTAAGTGACCACTACCCATAACTCTGGCACCAGAGGACCTGACACTCTCTTCTGGATGTCACACATACGTTCCCAGACACATATATGCATCATTTTAAAGACGAATAGCCTTTCTTAAGGCAGCATATCTGAGCATCTTTCTCATGTTCGTTTCTAGTTCTCCTCTGGGTTGTCACTGTCCCAAGGTCCTGCATGCTAAGGACTATCTCTAATGACTACAACCACTGTGGTCTCTTACTTGGGACTCTGCCCCCCCACATCACTCCAGTCTATACAGTTCCCAAGTTTGTGCTGGGGCACTGAGGCAGGAAATGAGGTCCATGTAGTTCCTGCCCTGGTGGCACTCCCAATTCAGGGGGTTTGATGTAATAAACCAATACATCAGCAAGACAATCTCTGCTCATGCCAAGGGTGATGGGAATAAAGGTCATGTGATCCAGTGTGTGGAGGAAGTGCATAGAGTCCTGAAAGGTGGTACGAAGGATCAAGGCAAGTAAAACTTCAGACGGGACTAATACCTGGGAGCCCAGGAACGGGGAAACCCTGGGGGTGGAAGCTTGTAGCTTGGGTTGAGGGCAAGGAGGGTGTTTGGAGTCAAGTCTAGGGTGGGGCAGATGGCCCATGCCATGGTGAGGAGTTTGAATTCTGTTCCACTGCCAAGGGTAGGCACGGGATACTTAAAGTACGAGGGTGACATCATCCCATCTATGCTTTTAAAAGATGACGCTAGAAGTGTCCTAGCTAGCTCACCACAAAAATGTCCAGTGTCTGGCCCCGCTATGGCCTCCAGGGGGCGCTTCAATCACACAGAAGGATGTTCTGACATCTGTAGGACCTGGAGATGGTCACTTCTTTCTCTGCTTTTAGTTTCTTTACCTGAGAGACAGTCAATGGGAATTTCATGTCTAAAAAGACCCGGAAAACACGATTTAAGCTACCTGACTCCACAGCTAGTCCTGAAGACGTACGTCCTCGGTTCGGAAGGAAATTGAGAAAATCACTTCTCCAGCACCCCAACCAAAGCCCAGCGACCCAGCCCAGCCAGAACCAGGATTCAGAGGATGCTGCATCCTCGGTGGTGGGACCCAAGGACAAAGGCCAGCGTTCCCCTCGCGGACTGAGTGCAAAGCGTGCAACCGTGACAAGAAGGCCTTTTCTCCGGAACCTCAGCCAACGCCGGGAGGCTCAGTCTGTCCAGGACCAGGATTCAGAGGATCCTGCATCCTCGGAGGTGCCACCCGCAGGCAAAGGCCCGCGTTTCCCTCTTGGATTGAGTGCAGCCGTGACAAGAAGGCCTTTCCCCCGACACCTCAGCCAACGCCAGGCAGCCCTGAAGGACCAGGACCAGAGTTCAGAGGATGCCGCATCCTTGGAGGTGGGATCTGCAGGCAAAGGCAAGCGCCCCTCTAGAAGATTGGGCACAATGGTGACAGGAGCATCGCGATTGGTCGTCCGCAATGCAGAGGCGGAGCCTGATTCCTGCAACTGGGCCTCAGAGACACCACCAAAGCGAGAGAAGCTGCACCTGGGGGCGATGGCTACATCAAGCCTTGGGTCCCACGAGGTAGGTGCGGACCAGAAATGGGACAAGAGGGAAGAGTGAGTGAAAGTCCGGCCTTCATCTTGGCCAGAGGCGCGAACACGGCCACCCCCCCCCACCGTCTCTGCTAGGGAGGGACTCTGCTCTGGGAAGATCAGGACACGCCCCACATGGGCGCAGGTATGAAAGGGGGTAGCGATCTGGTGGGTGTCCCCCGGAGGTCTTCCTAGGTTTCCTCATCAGGAAAATTGGGATGATGAGATAACTCCGTAAGGACCTCAAGCTCAGCTTTGTACACGAGATGGGTCTCCACTAGGAATGGGTGAGCTGGTATGACTTCAGCATCCATTTGACCCTTCTTGCTGGCACAGAGGAACACAGCACAGAGGAAACAAGGAGGTCTCTGAATCTCCCAGCATCCTAGCATCTGCTAACAAGACTTCTTGTGAAGGCAGCTCAGACGCAACAGTAGCAGACCAAAACATGTAACAGACCATACAGAGGAGAAAATAAGGCTGGGTCTGACCTAAGGTTATGCACCCGATGGGAGCCATCAGATGAGCCTGGAATTGACTGCAGAAGGATGTCTCCATTCTATTTGCATACCACATGCCAGGTGCTTTTTGGCCCCTCAATCACTGGGAACATGCTATAGAGTTATCCCTGTGTTTTATGGCCAAGGAAAACGAAGCAGAGAAAGATAAGGGGAAGATCTTAGGATTTGAACCTGTGCACGTCCCTTCTGAGATACCACCACATGCTCTTTGTTTCTTGTCCCTTTTCCCTTTGTCAGATCCTGGCCCACTCCCTGGAGACTGGACACAAGTCCATTTCCTCAGTGAGCCGCCGTGGTCTTCTTTGGCACCTCCGACCCAGGCAGTCTAGAGTTGGCTTGTTTGAGATCGGTCCAGGACATGAACTGCATAGAATGACACGGATGATGCAGGAAGGGCTGTGGGCTGCCACTCAAGTCTCCAGGAACAACCCACCCAAGGTGAATGGCCCATCCTGCCTCATACACCTGAAACCTAGCTAGTAGTCTATCTTGCTAATACTTTGACACTGGGAATCAGAGGGGCCCACCAAAAAGAGGGAGGCAGGGATTTGTGTCAGGAAGCAGAAATTCTGGGTTGAGAAGCTTGTATGAGGGACACCGTGCTTAAATTGGTGGAAGTATGGCCTCTGTCTCTCTGGGCCTCAAGTACCCCTATCTGTATAATGGGTGGAGGGGTTAATACGCCTTGCTTCTGAGGCCCCTAGGCCCTATCACCTTGAATGGTTAAAAAAGGACCCACCCCCACCCAACCCAATCCAGTCCATCCTCCCTGGAGCCTGTCAGACTGGGGCCAAGCTGGCTCAGCAGAAAACATCACTCAGCTGCCAACTCAGCAACCCAGTAGGCTGGTGAGCCTGTATGTTGTTTGTGTGTGTGCACATATGCACAGTTCAAACACAAGATCTGGAGGAGATTCTCTAAAACACAGCCTGACCCTCATCACCTGCAGGAAATCTATGGTTCCTCAGTACTGAACACAGACTGAAGATACTGCTGCCTGCAGGGCTGGCTATGGTAGCCTGCCTCTGGCTGCCAGGGCTGTTCCCTGTACCCCATTTCCTCTCTCCACACCCCTTCAGATTTCTGTTCAGAGGTCACCTGCCCCAGGAATTCTTCTCCAGTCAGACTCTCCTTCCAGGCTCTCCCCAGGAATCACTTGGCTACAGGGCCAGTTCCTTTTAGGGAGATGCAATCTGGCTGTACACAAACATGAGTTCTTGAAAGCATGCACCAGGCTTGAACTTGGAGCCTGGTCCTGAAGATCCAGATGTGGATAATACCCATGAGGCCCTGCCTTAGGTCATTCCCATCCTTCCTCCAGCCCTGGGTGAACCAGAAGCTCAACTGCCCAATTCAGACTAACAAGACTTGTCAGGTCCCTGTTTGCTAAGGGAAAGGCAAGCCCCAAGGCTGAACTCACAATCTAGATAGGCCATAGCAGACCCAGACTTTCTCTGAAACCCTCTACCAACCCCTGCAGGGACCTCCTACTCAGAAGGATTTCCTGGAAGTCATGACCCAAGTTCACCAAGAGGTAGGAAGTCCATAAGAGGCGGAGAGTCTTGTCTTTAGCTCCTCCCTCCTCAGCTGTGAGTGGGAATGATGTCCAGTTCCCAGGACCTTGTTGGGTTGACACTCCCTTAACCAGACCCAGCTGCATAAACCTGGACCCTAGAACCACAAGGGTGGACTCGCTTGGGCCGCTTTCTCCCCATAGGGCTTCGAGCTGGGCACTCTGGCTGGCCCAGCTTTTGCACGGCTGAGGCAATCCATTGGCCTGACTGAAGAGGACTACCAGGCTACTCTTGGCCCTGGGGACCCCTACCTTCAATTCTTCAGCACCTCCAAGAGCAAGGCCAGCTTCTTCCTGACGTGAGCTTGCAGAAGGGGTGGGGTGGGATTGGGGCTCGGTTCCAGATTGGCCAGATAGGCCTTGGACAGAGAGGGTCAGGGCCAGAGGAAGGTGGGATGAAGCAAGGGAGGGTGGCCAGACACACTCATCCTGTGCAAAAGCTGGAGTGGAACCACTCCGGCCAAGCCTGGGCATCGAGCTCTCTGTTCCCGCCTGCAGCCACGACCAGCGCTTCTTTGTGAAGACCCAACGGCGGCAGGAAGTGCAAGTGCTGCTCGCCCACCTGCCACGCTACGTGCAGCACCTGCAGAAGCACCCACACTCCCTGCTGGCACGGTTGCTGGGTAGGCGCCTTGGGGGCAGGTCCTAAACTGCAAAGTGCCTGAGGAGGGCGGGTCCTGGGGCGGGGCCCAAAGGGACCGAGTTATTGGATCGTCTCTGGCCCTGTTTCAGGCTGGGCTGGGACTTCACCTCGGCGAGGCCTGCGGTGCACACAGATTGATAAGGGAGTCTGGGGGTGGGCCCTGGAGTGACAGGCTCAGGTATGCGGTGGGTCTTGAGAAAGATGCAAGACTTGGAGCAGGGAACTCCAGTCATATGGATCCGGGATTGTGGAGTTAGAGGTACCTTCTCCTCTTTCAGGAGTATACAGTCTGCGGGTGGCTCGGGGGAAAAAGGTGAGTGTAGCGGAGGTGAGGAGGCTCAGCAGCGGGGGCTGCTGGAGGGTGAGCTCGGGCTTCCCTCACTCCCGACCCCTGTCCCCAGAAGTACTTCATCATCATGCAGTGCATCTTCTACCCTACCAGCCGCATCTCTGAGAGGTGAGTCCATCTGGAGTGCGTACAGGGTTCCAATTTCACAGGATAGGTGCTGTCTGAGACAGCGATATTTATCCACTAGATTGCCAACAAACAGACCCAAGAAGAACTGATCTTTTCTTTTAAGGGGCCGACTGGTACTTGGGATAGAACCAGTGCTTTTGTACAGGCTAGGCTCGCCACTGAGCTATATCTCCCTCCAGGTCTTTATTTTATTTTAGTTTGAAATAGTCCCCGTAGTGCAGATTGATTAGACTGCATCCTGGTGTCTTACCTCCCCAGTTATGGGTCATCACACTGGACTAGCCACCCTCATTTCATAGTTGAGAAACTGAGGAAGGCTAACGGGGCAGGTGGGATGGTTCAGTCAGAAAAGGTGCTTGCAGCCAAGCCCGAGGACCCAAGTTCAGTCCCCAGGACCTACATGATGAATCAAAAGAACCAGCTCTTTCAAGTCATCTACAGGAATAGTGCTCTCACACAGAAATAAATAAATATAGCTAAAATCGGAGAACAAACCCAACCTGCTGGTGGGATCCTCTCCTGGCAGACAAGATACTGAGAGACAGGCAAGCAGGGCTGACCCCCGGGTTGGGTTTTCGAAGGCCTGAGTTTGGATCCTTGCTTTGTTCTTTGCATACCCTGGGACACAGACAAGTTAGTGCTTGAGCCTGTTTCTCCATCTCTAACACAAGGACACAGTCTAGAAGGGTGCTGAGGTTGGATGTAAATCCATAGTGATTTAGCCCATACAGGAACAATCACATCCGGGAAGCCCTTGAATCCGATGATGACTGTGTGTACCCTACCTCCCAGGTACGACATCAAAGGCTGCGAGGTAAGCCGCTGGGTGGATCCAGCCCCTGAGGGCAGCCCCCTTGTCTTGGTGCTAAAGGACCTCAACTTTCAAGAAAGAACCATAAGACTGGGTGAGTCACACGGTCACTGTCTATTTGTCCATTCAGGGTGAGGTTTGGAAGAAGGGTCCCCTCTGCCCAAATTCTTAGCAGCCCAGGACTCAAATCCTGCCTCTAGACTTATGAAACTGGGGATGCAAGGCAGATTATAGAATGGGGGTGGTCATGGCATTCACACTTCTGGGGCAAGCACAGGCACGTAGTGAGGACTCAGGTGGGTTCTGGTGCCCCCCCACAGGAGCCCAGCGGAGCTGGTTCCTCCGACAGATGGAGCTAGACACCGCCTTCCTTCGGGAACTAAACGTGCTGGATTACAGCCTCCTGGTGGCCATCCAGTTTCTCCACAAAGAGGAGACGGACAATTACAACTGCATCTTCAGCACATTCAGGTGAGCTTTGCCTCAGATGTAATGGCAAGGATGATGGGGGTGAGGTAGGCATGAGGTGTGAGACCACCTTCCCTCTTGTGGCATGGCCCATGCTTAAAGGCTGAGAAGAGCTCTCTCTCTCTCTCTCTCTCTCTCTCTCTCTCTCTCTCTCTCTCTCGTGTGTGTGTGTGTGTGTGTGTGTGTGTGTGTGTGTACACAAATCCAAGCATGGCTGCTAGAGGTAAGGGACCCAGAGGAGTCAGGAGACCACAGAACTGAAGGAGTCTAACCGGACAAGGCCTTTTAATGATGGATTGAACCCTCTGCCTATTCTCTGGCAGGACATATGGGGCCACCAGAGGTTTCTGTGCAGAGACAAAACCCATTTAGTTTTATGCCCTCTGACCCCTGATGTCATCACCAGCACCACCACCATGGTGGACTCTGTTATGTAGAAGTAACTGTCACTCCCTCTATGTTGGCCCTCACTGAGATCATGCACTGATTCCTGACCATGAAGGCTCAGCAAAGGGAAGGGATGCCAAAGGACTCTGCTCTAACTGTAGTCCTCCAAGGCTCACCCCTAGGGTTGACCAGTAAGCTCATTTGAGACTTCAAGCCTGCCAGAAGTGCCCTTTAAAGCACACCTATAATCCCAGTACCCAGGAGACAAAGGCAGGTAGATCTCTTAAGTTCAAGGTCAGCCAGAGCTACATATAGTGAGGCCCTGCTCAAACAACACCAAATCAAAGCTCAAGCCCATTGGTCTCCTGTAGGACAGGGGAAGCAAAGGATGAAGGTGGCCTCGGTTCTCATGCAGCTTGTACTCCTGCCCCGTCTATGGAAGAGGTCCTTGGCGTGGAGGAGATTGAGTAGGATACAGAATATGTCTCTCCACACAGTCACAGCCCAACTATGTCTGGATCAGATGATTAAGTGTCTGTCATGGTACAGGGCTGCTGAACCTCAGCTCTTTCCTGCTGCTGACACAGTGCAGAGCACTGCTCTCACTGATCCGGTAATTTCCAGTTTGCATAGGATCATCATTATGTTGAAATATTTCCCAACAGGCTCTTCATCACTGGCTGCCCCACACTTCCTCTGGAAGAATTAAGCTTCCAGGTTAATTCTTCCCAGGCTCTTCTGCCACGGTTTTGATTAGTCGGGACTGTGGCAGGGATTGTCTCTCACTGGCTGACTTATTTCCCCCCCCTCCAGAGACCACCCCTCCCATGATAGACATAAAGAAAGCCTTATAGCAGTAGTTCTCAACCTGTGGCTCCCGATCCCTTGGGGGGGGGTTGTATATACACGCAAATATTTACATACTCAGAACAGTAGCAAAATCACAGTTATGAAGTAGCTGGGAAACAATTCTATGGTTGGGGGTTACGACAACAGGAAGAACTGTAGCTGCCCCCTGCAGGACAAGGTAGGGAAATTCAACCTGCTTCTGCTAGGATTTGGTGGTCAGGAACCTGCCCCCAAGAATACATTTGAGGGAAATCACAGCTCTACAAACTGGGATTGTTAGACTTCTCATCCTCAGTTCTTCAGCTCTGTGGTCAGGCTTCTAGGATGAGACTGTCTCACAAACCTAACTGAGGCCAGGTCCGCATGACCCAAATGCTCTAGATCGGCCCTCCCCAACAGAAATAAAACTCAATTCAGAATATCCAGAGTTCTGTGTCCCATTCACAGGCATTGGCCACAAGTGGCTGCTGAGTCTTTGAAATATAAAATTACTACCCCTGCCACCCCATACCCTCCTTTACAAAGGTTAAAAAAAAAAAAAAAAGAGGGCTGGAGTTGTAGATCAGTTGTTAGCGTGCTTACCCAGCATGCATCATGGCCTGGGTTCTATGGAACTACATAAATTGCCCTGGGTGTGCCATACCTGTAATCCTTGAACTATTAAAAAAAAAAAAAAAAAAAGGGACCAGTGTGAGCTACTTGTATTGAAACCTTGTCTCAAAAGCAAACAATAGCCAGGAAGGTGGCTCACATCTTTAATCTCAGCACTTGGGAGGCAGAAGCAGAGCTCTGTGAGTTCGAAGCCAGCCTGGTCTACAAAGTAAGTTTCAGAATAGCCAAGACTGTTGTTACCCAGAAAAACAATGTCTCAAAAAACCAAACCAAACCAACGACAACAAAAGCAAATTAATAATAATAATGATGAAAATAATTTTTTTTTTTTTTTGGTTTTTCGAGACAGGGTATTTCTGTGTAGCCCTGGCTGTCCTGGAACTCACTGTGTAGACCAGGCTGGCCTCGAACTCAGAAATCCGCCTGCCTCTGCCTCCCACGTGCTGGGATTAAAGGCATGCGCCACCACTGCCCGGCGAAAATAATCTTGAGTCAATACATTTGATTATTTTATCTTACCAACCTAGCAGTTGATGAGATTGTTTGCTTTATCTTCAATACCACCCTTTTAAAAGATTTTATTTTTAAATTACATGTGCATGCACATGAGGACACTGCCTGCACTCAAGACCAAAGATGGCGCTGAGTTACATGCAGTTTTGAGGTCTCTCTGCTGGGAGCCAACTCTGGTCCTCTACAAGAGCTAGAAGATGGCGGAGCAATCTATCTCTTCAGCCTCTCTGTACTGACTTTGAATTCAGTTTCTATTGGAGCCTGCTATTTCCCGTAACACTGACTATATTTCCAGGGCTCAGCGGCCACTTGTGGCCAGTGTCTGTGAAAGGGCGCCGCAGCTCGAGACCATCAGCTTCCTTACTCCTCAGCCCCCTAGCATACCTAGCTCACTTGTACTTTATCCTATTCCCATACCTAGGTCCTTAAAAGGTGCGCCGGAAACGGAAGGCCAAAACCGCCGGATGCTGCCCAACCTCCCCAATGCCCTCCATATCTTGGACGGGCCAGACCAACGCTATTTTTTGGGCTTGGTGGATCTGACTACCGTCTATGGATTTCGAAAACGGCTGGAACATCTGTGGAAGATGATGCGCTATCCAGGCCAGAGCATCTCCACTGTCAGCCCGGCTCACTACGCCCGCCGCCTCTGTCGGTGGGCGGAGGCGCACACTGAGTGACTCTCACCTCTCTGCCTTCTTCCCATCTGGACAAAGCGCTCGCAACAAGTTTCCAGCTGTACCCAGGGAGCTAGCCTGCAGTTCATCCTATCAGCCACAAGAGGGCAGCACCCTCATAACTAATGCTGTGAAGACTCACCCCCCCCCCATTCGGTGACGGTGCTGTACCCTGCCTAGAGCAAGTACCCCGACCCCAATCCCTACCCTTAACTCGATTACTATTAAAAAATGTTGATATTCTCTTTTTACAGACCACAAAATGGAGGTTCACGAGATGAAGCACGACCACTCAGCAATAAATGCTGGAACCAGCCTACACCATGACTTGGGCTTGGGAACTTAAGAGTTTTGGTCACCCAGTTCCTATAGTGCTACCTCACATTCTGAAGAAGGGAGAGGGGGAGAAGGCCCTGACCCCTTGTTCCAATGGGGAAACAAACCCAGAGGTTTTAAGGTTCAGGTTAAGAGCAAGACCAGCCCCAGATACTAGGCCTTCCAATTCCTAGCTCTGGAATGGCTTCACCATGCCCCTCTGAGAGACAAGTGAGTAAAGATGAGGCAGAAGCAGGTTTCCTGGGGTTGGTCTACAGGGGTATCCTCAAGGCTCACTGTTGACTCATCTTGAGTTACCTCTCAGTCAAATGAGGAAGCCTCAGTGGCCAACCCAAGGGTTCTGGCTAGCCTCTAGCATTCCTGCCCATCTCTTTTCCTTCCTCTGGGAAACCAGTATGGCCTCTGTCTCCAGTGTGATCTAACTGTGCTTGATGACCTTTTCTTTCAAAGTGTTATAGAGCCTGGCTATGTTTCCAGGGCATGGTGCTACCACCGCCCCTCTCTCCTCGATGTAATGTGTAAAATGGGAAGGCGACAGGCCTCAGGGACACAGTAGATGCTGACGGAGCAGATTCCCTGTAGCAGGCTATCAGCTGAGATGACACAGCTGATCCTGTCAAGTCCTGGCAAAAGGAGTCATTCCCACCATCACCAAAGCATCTCACCAGCCAGTCACGGCAGGAGGGAAGGCGCCTGACTTTCTGAGACCAGAAGGGTCATTCATGTTTTTGTTGGGTCCCAGGCCAAGGGCACAATGAAGGACGTTCAATTTGGAGAAAGGGAATATCTTAGCAAGAAGTAATATTGTGGGGCTAGGAGGGGTGAGGGATATCCCCCAAGAGTGGTCAGCCAGGATCCTGGAAAAGCATCTTAGGAACTCTATTCTACTGACCCACCAGATGTGGCCAGACTTTGAAAAGTGGCCAGTAGGATGTGGACTTGGGGGGGATGGGGTGAGGGCAGGGGAGGGGGTGCAGAAGAGGCTGCCCAGGAACTGGTATTTTCCAGAGACATACAGCCTGTTCTGGGTATTCTTGGGCAATTACTACAGAGTAATTGCAGCTTGCAGGAATTTCTCCTTGGTTGGCAAAATGGTGTTCATCTTCTGATGTCACCCAGAGGTGTCCAGCCAGGGACGTAGGAAGGTAGCAGGGTGACAGAGTAGGAACTGGGATCTGCTGTCATATCTTCTGGGGTCTTGTTCTCACAGGACTGGTCCTGAACTCAGAGCCCTGAGGTGCCCACGAAGGTGACAACTCTCCCTGCTACCAGGACCTTGGTAGGGCCTGGGGCTGTGAGGGAAGTCACCTGAGATCCCGGGCTCTCCCTCATTTCATTTTGTCCATCTGGTTCCATGTGGATTCTTTAGGCGACTTAGCTGTCACCAGATGGAGATGAGTCTAATAGACACGTGGGCATGAGGACCAGGGAAGTGACTCAGAGTGATTTCACAGTGCTCCGAGGGTGTGGCCAATGCCTGTAACCCTGGCATAGGGTCATACGAGTCGAGGAAGCTTCAGTTGAAGAGATGACTGTATCATTAACCTAAAGTGTGTCTTTGGAGCACTTTCCTTCTCTTTTCTTTTCTATCAATGACGTGGGAGAGTGCAGCCTTCTGTGGGCAGTGTGATCTAGGTGGTGATAAGATAGGTAGTTGAATGTAAGGCTGAGAAATAAGCCAGTAACAGCATTCTGCCACGGCCCCCTCCCCCATGGCCTCTGCTCTAGTTCCTGTCTCTAGGCTCCTGCCCTGACTTACCTCAGTGACGACTGGAAGCCAAAATAAAATCTTTCCCTCATGTTGCATTTGGCCATGGAGTCTGTCACGGAAACGGAAAGCAAACGGGGACGGCTACATAGCTCCTGTCTGAAATAATAACTTCTGTTCCTTGGCAAAGGTCTTTGAGGGGTTGAGGTTTGCCTGAGAGAGAAGAAGCCCCACTAGGAACATGACTGGAGAATGCAGCCAGTGGAAAGTCCTGGGGTAGGAATGACTTTGATGTCATAGGTCAGAAGGTAGCCACAAGAGAGGGATGCCATTTGACTCCTCAGAGGATCACAGGCAGTGGGAACACCACAAGAACCAAGAGGAGGAAGTACAATTTTCTGGTAGTGCCCTGAGCCGTCTCTGCGCCCTTCCTCACTGGGACAGGGTTATTTTTTCCACTTAACAGAGAAGAAGGGGGGGGAGGGTGGCCTGCCTCAGGCATAGGCCTCACTGACATAATTGACACAAAATGGCTGTATTTTAACAGCCTGCCAGGCAGTGGTGGTGTACACCTTGAAATCCAGTACTTGGGAGGCAGAGGCAGGCTGATATCTGTGAACTCAAGGCCAGGCTGGTCTACAGAGCAAGTTCCAGGCCAGCCAGGGCTACACAGAGAAACCCTGTCTTGAGAAACCAAAACCAAACCAAACCAACAACAAAACAACCTGAGCCATTAATCCCAGCTCTTGATCCTCTAGCAGAGGTAGCTGGATCTCGGTGAGTTTGAAGCCTGTCTGAAATACGTGGTCCTGTCTCAAAAACAGGTCTCCTCATTGCCTATTTGAAATTCATACTCAAGTTCACATCCTGCACTTCATTTGAGCGGACAACCCAACCAGCCTGAAACCCAGGGCCGCTTAATTCAAAGCCCTTGCTTCATTTCCTGTCCCCTGTTACTTCCCGGGCAATTTCAGAAACGGAGAACCCCAAGTGTCCACGGCCAGTAGCCATTACTCGGGTGGCTCAGACTTTCTGGACATCTCTTGTAGTCTTCCTTCCAACCACACGAGGACTAGAGTGGGAAGCCAAACTAGACAGGCCCCGCCCTCGACGTCGAGACCTCGCCCCCAGCCCGGAGGTCTCAGAGACAGCCACGCACGGCCCGCCAGCGCTGCGCAGGCCCCGCCCCCTGAGCGCAAAGCCTCCGCCCCTCCCGGAGGCCCCTCCCACGCCCCCGGCTGCGCTGCTCCAGCTTCCAGGCTTCCGAAGCTGCGGCCGCAGCACCGCCTCCTACCCAGGGCCGGGTTCCAGCCCCTCTGGCCGGGCCCACTGGACATGGAGCTCCGAGCAGCGCATCAACGTACTCGTTCGGTTAGCGGCTTGGGGAGGGATGGAGGAAACTAGCAGGGTGAAAACCCCACATCCTGTCCGCCCCAGGCCTCTCCATCACCCCGCGGTAGAGAGTTGGGATGGATGGGGACGATGTTCTTCTGGCTCCCGGCTTTCTTTGCCTGCCTCCGACCGAATGGATGACCTTGAGCCGAGAGCGCCTCCTCTTTGCCTCTCCTTCCCCATCTGCACAATGGGGACTGGTTTAGCAAGGTCTCTGAACCCACTGGCTTTATGATGGGGCACGTTGTCACATGCTTGGAGACTTTAAGGCTTTTGGTTCCTGGGCCCATTTTCCTTGACTTGGATTTGTCTCTTCCCTCGCCTCAGTTTCCCTCATATCCTGGGATCAACTTCCAGCCTTTCTCGTCCCAAGCTCTGGAGACAGCAGCCTCCAGACTGCTGAGGGCAGAGACAGCATGAAGGCCCCGGTAAGTGACAGGGAAGAACGAAAGTTGCCTGGGGATTTGGGGGCAACCTGGACAGAGCTTTGCAGCCGCCTTCCTACGCCCAGAGTTACAGTGACCCCCCCAACCCCTTTTGGTGTTGGGGGTATGAAGCTTAGAGCCGTGCATATGCTAAACACATGCCCTCGCACGGAGCCCCTCCCACAGCCCTTGCTCCTGTGCCCTAGGCTGTGTGACCCCAGGCCAGTGTATTCCCCCTTTTGGTTTCGGTTTGTTCTTCTCACCTAGAAATGGAAGTCACCCAAGTGTCACCCAGTTGAGAGGAGGGTGTGAGACTGAGTCTGAAGGCTCAGGTCAGCTACTCCGGTCTTTACTCTGAGCTCCCTGAATGCTGGGATGGGGAGATTAATTACCACTGCCTGATTGAGGGTCTCTGGTCCCTTGTGTGCAGCAGACCAGTTGTTGTGCAGAGCCGGAGGCCTTAGGAGCTGTGAACCCCGTCTCCTGGACAGCTGGCCACACAGAGAAGACTTATTTTTAGAAACTGATGTGGCTTATGGACAGAAAAGGAAGGGTGGGCCCCTGGCAGGATATGCTGGGGGCTGTTCTGCACCTCTAGCTTTCTGGGCATACTGACCAGCTCCTAGTGTTTTCTTTGAAATGGCCTTGGACCTAGAAAACTGGAGTTCTGAGATGGCCCAGCACACAGTGGCAGACACCTTGCTGGGTGCTTTCAGTGAGTGTGCAGGAGGCCACCCCCAGGTGACTTCTTCAGTGGCTTTTGGTGTATCTTTTCTAGAAGTGGGAGTGGCTGAGCTGAAGCTTCCCAACTATTGAAAGCATTTGCTATTTATTCGTGTTAGTTTTTAAAACAGTATCTCAGTCTGTAGCCCAGGTTAGCCTGGAACTCACTGTGTAAATTGTAGCCCAGGTTGTCCTCAAACTTGTAACAGTTCTGCCTCAGGCAAGGGATGAGTTACCATATTTATTATTAAATTTGATATTTAGATTATTATTAGATTAGATAGACATATCTGTCTAATATATTTTGTGTACCTGTCTAAATAGTGAGTGGTTGTGAGTCAGCCTACCTGGGTTCCTGGAGCCTGGCTCCTTTGCAAGCAAAGAAAGCTCACCACTACCACCAAGTTGGTCCTTGAAGGCATTCTTAAAAAAGATTTATTTATTTATTTTATGTATGTGAGTACACTGTACTACACTGTCACTGTCTTCAGACACACCAGAAGAGGGCATCTGATCCATTACAGACGGTTGTGAGCCACCATGTGGTGGCTGGGAATTGAATTCAGGATCTCTGGAAGAGCAGTCAGTGCTTTTAACCTCTGAGCCATCTCTCCAGCCCCTGAAGGCTTTTTTTTTTTTTTTTTTTTTTTTTGGTTTTTCAAGACAGGGTTCTCTATGTAGCCTTGGCTGTCCTGGAACTCACTCTGTAGACCAGGCTGGCCTCGAACTCAGAAATCCACCTGCCTCTGCCTCCCAAATGCTGGGATTAAAGGTGTGCACCACCACCGCCTGGCCCTGAAGGCATTTCTTAAGTGATGCTTTCAAGTCCCCTTCCACCTCCTGGACTGGCCAGCCAACCAAGGGGACACACTGGGTCAGTTGAGGGTTGGGAGATGGAGGTAGGGCCATGGGGGAGGGGGTAGCAGTGGCCTGAGGTGAAGGCCATTGAAACCCCAGACTGTATAGTGTATCTACTGGTTGTAGGTGAGAATTTGGGTTCTGCAATGTGGAATTTGTACCCTTGCTGTGTGGCTCTGAGTGACTCATCTCAACTGAGTGTCCTGACCTGGAAGAGGGGATTTGGGGGGCTTGTCTCTAGATTCGAGGTCCAAGAGCTAGACATCCCTGAAGAAAGTCTAGCCAGTGGAGCTATAGAGGTTCTACACGGGGAGGCCGCAAGTACCCCGCAGGCACGTGACCACTGTCTCCTTCAGGGCCGCCTTCTGTTCCTCACATTGTGCACCTTGACGCTGTCTGCTGTCTTTGTCTTCCTGTGCTGCTGGGCCTGCCTGCCCCTCTGCCTGGCAGCCTGCCTGGACCGCCACCTCCCTGCAGCCCCCAGATCCACTGTGCCAGGGCCCCTGCACTTCAGTGGCTACAGCAGTGTACCAGACGGGAAGGTGAGTCAGCCAAGGGTTGCTTAGGGAGCCAACAGGGAAACAGCTCTAGAGAGCAGAGCTGGTGGCAGCCAGCCTGGACTCTAAGCTTAGCATCGCTGCTCACCAGCTGTGTGACTCTGCCAGTTGTCATCTCTCAGCACTCAAGGTCTAAGAGGATAGGGCTTGCACTAAGCAGGTATTGCCTGGGTACCCCCCAACTACATGCTAGGAATGAAGAAGGGGGAGTGCCCACTGGGGATAACCTGGGAAGACAAGAAGTCTTTAGACTTCTATGTCTCCATACCATATGCTCAACAAACATGGCTTATTTCCCGCAGTAAGTCTGTCGCTGTGTGGCAGCATAGGTCAAGGTTATTATATGACCCCAGGAGTCATGAGACAGGGACACCGAGAGTGACAAGACAGCCATTACTCCTGTCCATGGTGTCCACCTCTCCATATCTGCTCCACCTACTGTGGTGCAGGGACATTCATAACTTTGACCCTAATAGCAGAGGCCCCATGTGTCACGGTTCACAGTGACCCGCTCTCGAAAGCCATCCTGTATAGTTATTGGCGCTACAATTTTGATTCTTAGTTTGGTGGCCCTAGGGCCATGCTCAGAAGCCCTGGCTTGCTGGAGACTTGCCATGTCCCCATCTCTGCCTATGTTGGTCTGTGCCAAGGATTCAAAGGGTGGCTGTCAGAGAGCACATGGTTTCCAGTGCCCAGCTGTGCTGTGAGGATTTGATGGAGGAATGAAAACATCTTGGCTGGGCTGACCTCGGGACTTTAGCTCAGTCGGTGTGAAGCAAGGACGAGTGCTAAGTTCAATCCCCAGGACCAACACCAAACCAAAACGAAGGCAACAAAACTCCTGGCGGTGTGAGCTCTCCACTCCCCAAGAATGGCCAGGGGGACAGGGACAGGGTGTCCTGAGTGGACACTATCCAGTCTGCCGTAGAGTGTCTTTTAGACACTCAGGCCTCTATAGCTGTTTGTGTGTGGGGTGGATGTGTGGAGGTTCAGCCTTGGGTTTTGTTTATCAGGCGTTGTCCACATTAATTGATTGACTGATGATTGATTGGTTTAGCCTGCTTCTCTCACTGCCTGGAATTAAGTGGCTCTAGACTGGCGAGTGCCCCGTGGGGATCTACCTGTCTCTGCCTCCACGGTGCTGGGATTACAGGCTCATGCCACAGTGCCCAGTTCATTCACCTACTCTTCTCCCTCCCTCCCTCCCTCCCTCCCTCCCTCCCTCCCTCGCTCTCT